GTTATGTGATATTAATACACCAAGATCACCAACGAAGCATTAACTTTAGTCAAATTACTGTGTTCTAGAATCGAATTCCAAATCCTTTTTTTCGCTGTTGGGAATTAGGTATACCTCAAGGGCCTATTTTTCCAACATCAGATAAATTTTAACTGAGGAGTAGCTATGAACATTTGACAATTCTTCCATACTAAAAGCTGTCAACTGTCAATTTTATTCTACAATTAAGAATTAACTGATGATTTAAAAATGGACCCTTAAAGAAGACATCAACAATAACAGTATTTTAACATTATTTAAAGGCGTGGTGGCCCGGAGGTTAAGACGCCCGTTTCTCATGCATGAGGGTTCGAAACCTACCAACGGCAAGTACCAATGTGACTTTTTCCGAGTTGTATGTACTTTCTAAGATTATTTATACACCACTGACAAACGGTGAAGGAAAACGTCGTGAGAAAACCTGGACTTATAATTTCTAATTATTAGTTTGAAATCGCCAACCAGCATTAAGCAAGCGTGGTGATTAATGCTCAAACCTTCTCCGTGTGAGAAGAGGCTTTGCTCAGCGGTGGGCTCTTATAGGCTGTTGATGATGATGATGATTTAAACTTCACCTATTCTTATTTACTTACTGGAAATCATGTTAAAATTGTATAACACTCAACACCTAATAATATTAACAAGATTGCGAGTTCAAATTTCACCCATAAAGTCTATAAACGACTCATAAACTATGTCTAACAGGGTCTCATAACTCAAAGCTAATCAATGGCTTTGAAAATGAAATTAGTGGGCTATTGTGCCATACTGACCCCATATCATGAATTACAAATCAGTCATTACTATTACCATCTCGAGTATGGCGGGCTTGAATAATTAGTAATTTGACCTCATTTTAATATCTACATATTGAAGCACTGGAGTTGTAAGGCACCTGAATAGTGTAGGTTTATATGGAGTTAAGAAACATGTGTATCTGCTAACGGCTGAAAATAATGACTATTGAAATTGGACATCTATGACAAAGATATCCATGTCTAAGTGTGGGAGAGCCATGCTTAGGCACGAATGGGCCGGCTCGACCGGAGTGATACCACGGCCTCACAGAAAACCATAGTGAAGCAAGGCTTGCGTTGTGTTTCATCGTGTGAGTGAGGTTACCGGAGGCCCAATTACCCTCCCCTTCTCCAATCTCCCCAATTCCTGAATCCCCAACGATCCTCAAACTTCTAATCCTCAAAAGGCAGGTAATGCACTTGTAACGCCTCTGGTGTTCCAGGTGTCCATGGGTGACGTCGATTGCTTACCATCAGGTGATCCGTCTGCTCGTTTATCGGCTTATGCCATAAAAAAAAGTTTGGCCACAAAAAGCTTTAGGTAGATGGAGTGGAAGGAAGGTAGTGAGACTTTTGCTCTGCAGTTTGACAACCATGGCTGAAAATAAAAGAAAATCAATCTATCGGTTTTTGATATTACTTCTATTGAAATTCTATCAAAAAGTTAGATGTTGGATTGATATAGGCTGTGCTGTTCAGTTATAAGTCTTCAAAAGTCTAGGCTCTACCTATAGCTTGACCCGGGGGTCGAACTAGAAAACTGATGCTTTGCAGCTGTATCAATATTTTATAACGGTGGAGTTCACGCAATTTGAAAAATAAATAGGTTTGAAATAGACTCTGTTAAAACCCATTTTGTAAAACATGAACACGATACAAATGCATATATCAAAGTACTGTCCATGATAACTTTATTTTAGCTCAAAATTGTGTAGAATGGGTTTACAATTTTCGTGCCTCACATGAACATTAATCACACAAGCATTCAAGTGTTAAAACCTCTTTGAATTAACCTCCTTATCTAACGCCATTGTTCAAGAGCAGCTGAGTACAAATGTTTACAAAAAAGTAGTTAGCAATTTGAATGGAAAATATTTCTTGTTCGTTAATAGTAGACTGATCACAAATAGCTTATCTATAGACGGCTAAACATTGAATTTTTCCATTACAGAATAATTGTAATAATAATATGAACGAAATATTACGTAATAACTTGTTTCGATTTGATTTTCGAAAGAGGACGTGTTTTTATTGTTAAGTATAATTATGTACAGGTTGTCGTAAGTGGTTTTTATGGTTTCTGCTAAAACCCTTATTTTGTTTTTTTTTGCCCCACACTCGGATTTTCTCCTGTGTCATGGGTGCGTTTAAAAGATACAAGTTCACATACACATGACACCTAGACCCGGAACAACTATCTGTGGATCACACAAAGAGTTGCTCTGTACGGGAATCGAACCCACGACACGTTGCGTGGCAGCCAGTAGCCCAGCAACCGCACCAACCGTACAGTCAGTCATCGACCTTGGAACCAAGATGTAAGTTTTAACCGTGCAGTCAGTCGTCAACCTTGGAACCAAGATGTCCGTTTATACATATTAATAAAAATGTATTGCTTGCCCTAGCTGGTAGTAGAAAATTTAGATCGGTATAAAATGCATGTCGATTGCATAACTGGCCCTCTTTTTGTTCTAGATTCGTCACTACCAATACGTTTGTCTTGACTACAAACATTTCGGTGTTAGTTTGTTAATTTGAGTTTTCAATGATGTTTTCACAATAATCTTGTGGTTTTAATAATCTAGCCAGTCTTTTGGGCACCCTATCTCACGATGAGGAAAACTTTTTTTTTATGCCTTATTATAGCTTTTTGTATTATTTTTTTATGGTATAAATATTTTAGTTCATAGTTATTTATATTTTGGGTTGTTTATATTTTCATTTAGTAATAGTTAATATTAATTGTATATTACCTATATTTAACAATATTTATGGTTTCGTAATGACGTTGATTTCTCAATTCTCATCTAGGTTTTAATTACATATTTTAGTTTCACTTTGTATTTTTCACTTTGTTTCTATTATGATGATATCACTATCATATCAGTTGACGTTTGGTATAGAAGCAGTGGCCCCAATAATTTCATTTAATGTCTAACATTACCTAATATTGCAAACTTATTCATATTGTTAATACAACTAACAAATAATTAGAATGGCTGTAGAAAGGGATACAAGTCGCCCATGCTCAATATCAAATCCGGTGTGCCACAAGGATCAGTCTTGGGACCTTTACTGTTTATTCTTTTCACGAACGATCTCATAAATTATTCAAATAAAAAACTACCTGATTTGAAACTTACAATTTTCGCGGATGACACAAATGCAATAGTATCAGCAACCGACATTCATACACTAAGTGATGCCGTTAATGCGGCTCTGGCTGTCTTTCACTTCTGGTTTACTGAGAATAAACTTAAAATAAATGCGAGTAAAACGGGTGTGATGTTATTCAAAACAACTTCGCGTAATAAGGATAGCATGAGCATCGAACTGAACAATGCTGGGGTTGAGCTAGTCAGGGTGGTAAAGTTTCTGGGCATACATATAGATGAGTTATTGAACTGGAAGGCAGAATTAGTAGCACTTGACTCATCTATATCATCAGCGTGTTATGCTTTAAGAATTCTTAGAGATGAGGTTAGTTTAGAAGCTCTGAAATTAGTTTACTATGCGCTAATAGAGTCTAGATTACGGTATGGCATACAATTTTGGGGCAAAAGTTACAATTATAATGTTCGAAGGGCGTTCATTTTGCAAAAAAGAGCAATAAGAACCATTGTCCGTATTCCCCAACAAGAAAGCTGTCAACCCTATTATAAGGAGCTTGGTATCCTCACAGTACCTGGACTATACGTACTGGTGCTCATGTCAACCTTAAAGAAATACATTTATTGCTTTGAAAGTGCTGAGGAAAGATCATTAAGAGAAAAAACACGTAGGAAGGATTTAGAAAGTAAACTCATCCCAACACTTAACATTGTTGGGCATAGTCCACTGTACCAGGCAGTTAAAATATTTAATAG